CGGTAAGTACTGACCCCAAAATTTTTTTTTTAATTCTATAACATGTAGAAAAATGTGCTCTTCATTTAAGAAAAACAAACAATTTTTTTTATTTTTTCAAAATATTCAGAGTGCCACGCGAGTGAACGTAGATCTACGTTTGGATAGTTTAAGGGTTAATGTACACTGCAAAACAGAACAGATTTGTATAGTCACAAATAAGGGAAAAATCTGCAAAAAGTTTAGTACTGTATTTGATACAGTTTTTCCAGTGATTACAATACATAAATAATCAAGTAGCCCCAATTTAATGGAGCAGTAATCTCTAGGTTTGGATTAAATACTATTTACTGAAACGTCAATACATTACATCATAGCTCAAAAGGATGACTAAATTCAATTTTCTTTGTAGTTAATGTTTTCGTAGATATAAAAATAATTACTGTAATTAAAAATTTCAATGAATATGGACTTTATGGAACAAAATGCTCATTTGCTCATAAATACTCTCTCATCATGAATTTTCAACATCTCTCCAGGAGGTTCAATATTGCACAGTTCATAACTCTACACACCAGTTAAAAGTGAATAAATACTTAAACTTTATAAAGCAATTAAATTATCATGAGAAAATTTTACATGGGTACTCACATGGTGTAAAAAAAAAAAAAGCCTGTAATAAGTAATGAAATTAAAAGAAAGCGTATAACAATCCAGGACTATCACAATCTTTCCTATACTCAACCTAAATCTACAATCATTCCTATACTCAATCTAAATTCTTGATACAGAATATATTATATTTTGTAGGCTATATTATTAAATACAAGACTAACACTATATAATACAGTAAGTATGACAGGGAATGATAAAAGCAAACATGCTCACTTATTGTTAAGTGCAAGTAATAACAGGAACTTCTGGCACTTTAATGCTGCAATCTCATGACAATCTTCAATGAATCATATATGAAAAATCAACTCTTATCAAGACTATGTCTACAATATTTACTCTTAGAAGACAACTTGAGTATTGACGAATGCTAGGGTGCTGATACAACATAGTAATGTAGGTAGAATATGTCGATAAACTTCCCTTAAGCTTGATTCTCTGGACTTTTCTTCCTAGGGAATCACTCCAACAGAAGGGAGGGGGAAAGAAATGTTGTCTACTGAAGTTCCTCCAGATGATTTGGTTGGCTAAATTAACATCAGCTGGAGGTATCGGGTAGATGGCAAGAATATTTTGAGGAACTTTCAAATGTCAATGAACAAAAGGGAGGCAGTAATTTCATGTACTGGCCAGAGAGGTATAACATCTTTTTGGAGTGAAGAGCAGGATGTGAGTGTGGGGGAGGTGTGTGAGGCATTACATAGAATGAAAAGGGGTAAAGCAGCTGGAACTGATAGGATCATGGCAGAAATGTTAAAAGCAGGGAAGATATAGTGTTGGAATGGTTGGTATTTTTGCTTAATAAATGTATTGAAGAGGGGAAGGTACCTAGGGATTGGCAGTGTGTGTATAATTCCTTTATATAAAGGGAAGGGGGACAAAAGAGATTGAAAAAATAGTAGGGGAATAAGTTTACTGAGTATACCAGGTAAAGAGTATGGTAGGGTTATTATTGAAAGAATTAGAGGTAAGACAGAGAGCAGGATTGCAGATAAGCAAGGAGGCTTTAGAATGGGTAAGGTATGTATAGATCAGGTGTTTCCATTGAAGCATATTTGTGAACAGTATTTAGATAAAGGTAGGGAAGTTTTCACTGCATTTATGGATTTTAAAAAATTATATGTTAGAGTGGATAGGAGAGCAATGTGGCAGATGTTGCAGTGTATGGAATAGGTAGTAAGTTACTAAATGCTGTAAAGAGTTTTTATGAAGATAGCAAGGCTCAGGCTAGGGTGTGTAGGAGAGACGGAGATTACTTCCCAGTAAAAGTAGGCCTTAGACAGGAATGTGTAATGTCACCATGGTTATTTAATATATTTATAAATAGAGTTATAAAAGAAGTAAATGCTAGGGTACTGGGGAGAGGGGTGGGATTAAATTATTGGCAGTCAATACAAAATGAGAGTTAACAAAGTTACTTTTCGGTGATAATACTGTACTTTTGGGAGATTCTAAAGAGAAGTTGCAAAGGTTAGTGGACGAGTTTGGGAGGGTGTGTAAAGGTAGAAAGTTGAAAGTGAACATAGATAAGAGTAAAGTGATGAGGGTATCAAACGATTTAGGTAAAGGAAAATTGGATATTACATTGGATAGAGGGAGTACGGAAGAAGTGAATGTGTTCAGATATTTGGGATGGGAGTAGATATGCTAGCAGATGGGTTTATGAAGGACGAGGTTAACCATAGAAATGATGAAGTAAAAAAGGTTAGTGATGCACTGAGGTGTCTGTGGAGACAAAAAATATTATCCATGGAGGCAAAGAAGGGAATGTATGAGAATATAGTGGTACCATCACTCTTATATGGGTGTGAAGCATGGGTTGTGAATGTTGCAGCAAGGAGGAGGCTGGAGGTTGTGGAGGTTTTGTCAAAGGGCAAAGAGTGGTGTAAATATTATGCAGATAATTTGTAGTGTAGAAATTAGGAGGAGGTGTGGAGTTATAAAAAAAGTATTCTTCAGAGGGTTGAAGAAGTTTTATTGAGGAGGTTAGTTCATTTAGAGAGGATAGAACAAAACAGAATGATATAGTGGGTGAATAAATCTGTAGTGGAGGGGAGGAGAGGTAGGAGTCGTCCTAGGAAAGGATGGAGGGAGGGGGTAAGAGGTTTTGTGTGTAAGGGGCCTGGACATGCAGTAGGCATGTGTAGGAGTGTTAGATAGGAATGATTGGAGACGAATGGTTTTTGGAACCTGATAAGCTGTTGGAGTGTGAGCAGGGTAATATTTTGTGAAAGGATTCAGGGAAACTGATTAGCCAGACTTGAGTCCTGGAGGTGAGAAGTACAATGCCTGTACTTTAAATGAGGGGTTTGGGATATTGGCTGATTGGAGTGATATCTAAAACTGTCATATCTGGGCACCTCCGCAAAGACAGTGATTATGTGTGAAGGATGGCAAAAGTGTTTCTTTCTTTTTTGGGTCACCCAACCTTGGAGGGAGACGGTCGACATGAGAAAAAAAAATACCCATCTATTATTATTTTGTAAATGAAGATTTGTCTTACCGTTGATGACTAGGCTATAGGTAAGACTGTCAAACAAAGTCAGAAAATATTAATAAAAAAAAATACCTGCTAGGTAGACAGTAAAATGTAAGCAACAAGTAAAAACTCACTTACCATCCTAATTAAATAAGGAATCCCTCAGTCATCATGCTATAAAATAGACTATAGCAATATAAGTTAGGCACTTATATTACTCTGTGAGAAGTCACTTGTTATCACAAACATTTAAACAAAGTATGTACTTACACTGCTATGTATGAAATATAGCAGAATTTGTTTTGGGAATGAGGTTGTTAAACCATCAAACTGTAGTCTCTCTTTTTCAGAAATTATTTTGTTTGAATTCATATTTCATAATTTCCAGAGAAACAAAATTGCAAATGTGAGTGTATCTAAGGATCTCTGAAAACACTACTCAACAGTAAAGAGGGAAACTAAAGTTAGCACATTAAGATGTTCAGTAAAGGTGAGATAACATTACAAGTGCAATAAAAAAAACAGATGAACATCTATTATTTTCAAAAAAGTGTAAAGATATTCATTTTAAAATATCAAACCAAAACATTATACAAAACACTCTTTACAATGGTTTACAATACAAGTTTTCTAGAGTCTACAGAAAACTGAGAGCACAACAATACCCGGTAGGCAAGTGATGGATGGGGACTAGGAAAAAACTAACAGGATCCTTAAGCTTACCTTGTGACAACTTCATAAAACTAGTTTACTCTGCATACAAAAGAAATTCTTCATATACAGAAACCAGCTATGTAAACAAAATTCTGGTATGGCTAAGAGCTTAGTGTTACAAATGCCCTTACTACAGCATGTTGATGACAGTCTAATAATTTCATAAGATATTTTAACCATGATGGTTTCAAAGAAAGACTAGATTTAACACTGTTGAGTCCACCAAGTCCTAGGTAGTAGGTTGGTAGACAGCAACCGCCCAGGGAGGTACTACCGTCCTGCCAAGTGAGTGTAAAACGTAAGCCTGTAATTGTTTTACACGATGGTAGGATTGCTGGTGTTTTTTCTGTCTCATAAATATGCAAGGTTTCAGGTACGTCTTGCTACTTCTGCTTACACTTAGGTCACACTACACATACATGTACAAGCATATGTATACACACCCCTCTGGGTTTTCTTCTATTTTCTTACTAGCTCTTGTTCTTGTTTATTTCCTCTTATCTCCATGGGGAAGTGGAACAGAATTCTTCCTCCGTAAGCTATGCGTGTTGTAAGAGGCGACTAAAATGCCAGGAGCAAGGGGCTAGTAACCCCTTCTCCTGTATATATTACTAAATGTGAAAGGAGAAACTTTTGTTTTTCCTTTTGGGCCACCCCGCCTCGGTGGGATACGGCTGGTGTGTTGAAAGAAAGAAAGAGTCCACCAAGTATCTGGTTCATGCTAGAGAAGAAGTCTAACAACCAACTTTGTTTTGACACTTGTCAAGGATAATGGCAAACTTGCCTTTAAAGTATACAAGAAACTGACATTAAATGAGCCTGATGCACTATTATGATTGTGACACTATGACAAAAGAGCTGTAATCAATAGGGATTTTGTTAGAACACTTAAGATTGGAAGTTCCTAGCTTCTAGAAGATAAGTTTAATTAAAATTTTACCAAGTAAAAATTCTCCAAAATTAACTGACTATAGAAAGAGCATGAGATATAATGTTGAAAGAGAAAAATCAGAAAACATTTTGGTATATTGGAAAGTATACCAAAATGCCAAAAATAATTTTAATATTATCTGCAAAGTCACTAAATCCACTACTGCCACCTTTAGTTTCTCCCCCCCCCCCCCCAAAAAAAAAAAAAAAAAAAAAAAAAAAAAAAAAAAAAAAAAAAAAAACATATTACATTTGCAAGAAACACAAAACCTGTGCCTGTGTGGGTTATCTCAATGATTGGTGAAGACTTAATCATCCTCCCTCTTAACCCAAGACTTCCAGAGGTAAACATGCATACATGGAAAACCACCACTGTCACCAATGTCTGTTTATCCAACATTCTCATGCCATGGATTAGGACAAAGTGATAAACACTGTTAAGAAACAAAGATTAGGAGAAAACAAGAGTTTTAAGAGCAACAGCCATTAAAGAGCCTAATTTTAATAAAAAAGCAAAAGATTTATACCAGAGTATACCACTTTTGACCTCTGACCTCACATGTACTAGGGAAGATTATCCAAAACTGTACTTTAAAAGTGACCCACCCCTGGGCATATAAGTCACAAAATACTACAATCTACCATTCCTTTCACTATACCAGGTGGATATGTACACTTGTGCTCTTTTCTGTAGACTAAAAAAATTGTAGAGAGTAACTGCTATAAATGTGATTTTCTACTGTATAGGGTTTATTTACATTTTTGTTTCCACTTGGTGCTACTGCACACTATGGAAACTGAACATGACAATACACTGAACTTTGATGAGCAACTCTTTCAGCATATGACTGGCATGCAACAAATTATACTTTCAAAATATATAACACCACAAAATCTTAATCCTTACCTCAACTTGTCTCCTTTACACATTGCCCTATTTTAGTTAAATACCCTAAACAACATTCCTTACAACAGCAGTCTCATTTTTCAGTGGAAAGTGAGACATTCGTGAATATAGTTAAAATATTTATACTTGTGTAGCCATATTTTTACGTCACTTCATGCAGTTCTCGTATTCTCTTGTTGTAGTTTTCCAGGGTTGTGTGAATAGTGGTGCTTGAATATTTACATTTATCAGACGAACAAGTGCAGGTGAAATGCTTGTACTTGATAATCCAGAACTTCTCCCCATAGTCAAACCTGTAATTAAGAAGAAACTATAACTAACAGGATTTGCAGGATTGTTTTAACTGTTCAAATCTACATATAGTAGGTCCCCGCTTTTCGGCGTTTGGCCTTACGGCATTCCTCTACTACGGCGATCTCAAATTATAACCAAAACTTTCTATACGGCAAGCGGTCTTTCAAATGCGGCACGTGCCTCTCGGCTCGTTTACATTCTCCATGAGCACATCTCTCTATTATGTAATAATAATCACCTTTGGGCACATTAACCCCTTGACTGTCACAACCCCAAATCCTGAGGTGTCTCCTGGTGTCGAAAAAAAAAAAAAAAAAAAAAAAAAAAAAAAAAAAAAAAAAAAAAAAAAAAAAAAAAAAAAAAAAAAAAAATCTTATGAAATGATAGAGAATCTTTTCCCAATTGTAATGACACCAAAAGAACGAAATTCAATGGGAAACTGTTGGAGTTATGCTCTCGCGAAGTTAGCGACCTCGGCGATTTCACCCACTTTGAGCCCTATTTTCGGCTAATTTCATTGGTCCAGTCGACCAAACTCACAGCTATTTCTTTAGAACTCCATTTTTTTCTATCGGTTGAGTACAAGAAACTGCCCATTTACTGATTTCAACTACCCAATAACATGGTCAGAAATTTGCAATTTGGCCAATTTCACGAAAATTAAAAAATATGACAATTTCAAAATAGGATCCAGAATGAACAATGCAGACATTCCTGGCTCTAAAATAACATTTTCTTTGTTCATCAGTCACATCTCCAGGCCCCTCTGATATTACTTTTGCTTTCTATTTTGAATTTTTATTCAAACAAAAAATAGAAGATTTATTGTTATGCAGACTACTGCAATATTGTAATAATTGTATAAATATTGTCAACCCATTCATGACTGCATATTAGAATGGCTACTTGGACATTTGTTGGAAAATGGCATCATTTGTTTACTTCTGAACATCGGCTAAAATCAAACATTTCCCGTACTTTGAGCTCCATTTCAAAGTTCTTTTCATAGTAAAAACAATCAAAATCACCTCTATTTCTATAATATGTTCCCCATTCTATCAAATGAGACCAAGAAAATGAGAATACAACCATAAATACTATAAGAAAACAGGCCACAAAATCAGCGTTTTAATTAAAAAAAAAAAAAAAGGTCGGAGTTTTTTTTTTCTCATTATGCACTGGGTGCTGCAGGATTTTTTTATATGGTGCACACTGACCACACCGACCCATTCTCTCACATGTGGGCCTACCAACTTTCTCCTGTTTGATTTGAAGCCGCTAGAATTTATGAGTATATATATGTCAAAAACGGTGACTCGTAAGACGTATTTATACGACCAAAACAGTCAAAGGGCTAATGTCTAATTTTATGTCAATATAGACATTTTCATTAATCCACCTATGATATTTTCTTCAAAATAATACAAGGAACACATTACATAGCATATAAACATGCTGCTTATATGCTATGGAGGTGTGGTTGCAGGGTAGAGAGAAAAGATTACGTAATACTGATAATAATCACTCTTGGGAACATTAAATATCTTATTTTACATCGTTATAGACATTTTCATTAATTCATCTATGATATTTTCTTCGAAATTATATAATATGTTACATAGCATATAAACATGCTGTCTATATGCTATGGAGGTGCGGTTGCCGGGTGGAGGGAAAACATTACACAATACGTACTAATAATAATCACTCTTGTGCTCATTAAATGTCTTATTTTATGTTAATATGGACATTTTCATTAGTCCATCTATGATATTTTCTTCAAAAGTATATAAGAAACTTATTGCATAGCATATAAACATTTTGTTTATATACTATGGAGGTGTGGTAGCCGGGCAGAGGGAAAACATTACGTCACTCCCCTTAATACATAACGCTTTTGTTTACAATTCTTGGCATGAATTATTCATTACTTCTCCCTATGTTTATGACGGCATCTAAAGCTAGTTGTTATAAACGATTAAACTCAGTGAACATGGTATGTCGGTGGTAATAATAGGTAGGTGTAGGTATGTAAGCCAGGTGGACTACATGCCTACATTATTATTATATGTAATTGATACTTATACTTATGAGTACCTGTACCTAAGTAAACTTACACACTGTGCTGGCATGCAGGTACACATTAAAATCACTAAGTGTGTCTTATTAGTCTTGAAGATGCTATATTAATAAGGATAATAATAATAATAATCACTCTAAGGAGCATTAAATATCATATAAAACATTCATATAGACATTTTGCTTAATCCATCTAAATACACCCCACAGCAGAATAAATTAACATAAAGATGAGATGTGGCAGCCAGGTGACTTGTAGGACTTGTGGTAGCCAGGCGACTTGTAGTCCAACATCAGAGAAAATGTGTACACTATAATATTACTGGGGGTAACTAGAAAATTATTCCTTTCATATGCCTTCACTCAGGGTGTCATTTCTTTTAAATATGGTGTCACATGAGAATGGGAGTGTTTCTCTTTATTCTACTGTATCAAGGTGGAGACAACTTGTACACAATGTAAAGTGATGAAAACCAGACGTGTTCGTCTGGTTTGTTTACATTATGTGTGGGTGGGGTGGGGAGGGCTGCCCCTGCAGACTATCCATACTTCCCAAACCTGATTTCTTAAAATAAAACTCACCTCTCACCCTACATTAAGACTACAAAATGTACTGTATATGTATTTTATCGCTCTGGGGAGCTTTAATTAAATATCATAGTACGTATATTACGTGTGGGTGGGGTGGGGAGGGGAGGGCTACTCTGGCTGGCTACATACTTCTCAAACCTGACTTCCTACAAATAAAACTCACCTCTCACCCTACATTAAGACTACAAATATTTTAAGGTAATTAATGAATGTTCTGCATATGTATTTTATCGCTCTGGGAAGCTTTAATTAAATGTAGTATATTACGTGTGGGTTGGGAGGGCTGACCTGGCTGGCTAAGATACCTCCCAAACCTGACTTCATACAAATTAAACTCACCTCTCACCCTACATTAAGACTACAAATATTTTAAGGTAAGTAATGGGTGTACTGTGTGTGTGTATTTTACTTTTTATTGTTTTTAATGCCTAGTTCTGTTGCTAACGTAACATGTGTTAGTGTAAACTTGTTACCTGGCATTTATATGCATTTATAAGTGGGAAAAAAATGGCATTCTGCTTTCCAGCAATGTCTGCTTTCTGGCAGTAGCCTGGAACCTAACCTGCCTTATAAGTGGGGCCCTAGTGTAATAGGTGTCTTGTGCACATTGTATGAGGTGACTAAGATGCTGAGAGCAATGGGCTAGTAACCCCTTCTCTTGTATATATCACTAAATTTAAAAACAGAAACATTCATTTTTTATTTAAAAAATAAAAGCTTGATTCAAATTTGTTTCATTGCGTATGAACTTATTAGCACCCAGGATGAGGATGACATAAAATAGTGAATCTGGTATAAATGAACTCTGACATTGAACTGGTTCAAATATACTGTCCTAGCAATGGTTTAAACTTGTTAATTATTCATTAGCAAATTTAGTACTAGATTTATTTAATTGTATAAAGAAGGGTATGATTTTCCAAAAAAAGAAAGCTTGACGGGAAAATCGGTGTCCCCAGGGGGTGTTTAAAATTTTAAGGTGGACTAAAAAGAAGGAATGCTTGGGTGTTGGGGAAAGACACTTTCCAAGACAGTTTTTTTGGGTGATTAAACAAAAGTTGAAAAAGTGGTCAGTGAATTTGGGAATTTAGCCCTGGAGGGAGAAGTACTGTGCCTCATTCTAAAGGGAAAGGGTTTTAGATATTTGCTAGTGTAAATAAAATTTTTTTTTTTGGGGGTCACCCTGCCCCGGTGGGAACGGCCAGGTGTTAAAAAAAAATAAAGAAAATTAAAAAGTGAAAACAAAACGAGCAAGATTTGAGAGTACCAAAAATTTAAAAGCAATGAAAGATTAAAAGGGAAAGGGCCCAGTACGTGGGTTTAATTTTCCGGGCTACTCTGTAAAGTAAAAAAAATCATGTAAAGTGAAACACGTTTTTTTTCACTTTTAAATGCAATTAAACCGAAAACATTTTTTCACTATCAATTTTAAGTTAGCAAAGAGTTTAAAAATGCATATACAGCACAATATTACTTTTTTATATTTTTTAACACACGGCCCATTTCCCACCATGTAGTGGGGGGGGCCCCCAAAAAAAAAAACTTTCATCATATTCATCCATACTGTCTTCCAGGGTGCACTTACACTAAATTTTAAAAAACTGGCATTAACACCCTTCCTTCAGAGTGCGGGCACGTATTCCCCATCTCCGGACTCAAGCCCTGTCTGCCGTTTCCCTGAATACCTTAAAAAAATTTTTCCCTTGCTCACACTCCAAAGTGCATAAAGTGGGAAAAACCTTGTCCCATTCGTTCCTATCAACACGCTCACGAATGCTTGCTGAAAGTTCAACCCCCTCACAAAAAAACCTTTACCCCCTCCCTCCAACCTTTCCTGGGCCGCCCCCTCCCTTCCCTTCCCTCCATTACAGATTTATCACTCACAAAGCTTCTTTTTGTTCCCACCTCTTAATGCCCAAACCCAAACCTCAACAACCCTCTTCAGCCCTCGGGATAATTTTTGGTAATCCGCCCCTCCTTCAAATTTTCCCAAAAAAACGAATTCTTTTTTTAAATTCCACCAAAATTGCCTCGGGCCCACAACATCTCCACTGCTCCCCCTTTCCCCTTGTTGCACATTCTCACCCATGCTTCACACCCATTAAGAGCATTGGTATAACTATACTCTCTGATTCCCCCTTTGCTTCCATGGACAAAATTTTCTTTGTTCCCAACTCCTCGTAACCCCCTCACTTTTTTTCCTTCATCAATTCTACTGTACTATCTAAAAAATTTTTAACCTTAGCTTATAGTAATGGTGAATTTATTTATTGTTGGAAGTTGAAAATGAAGAATGGGGATAACTGAAAACCACTGCATTAGTGAATGC